AGGGTGGGCCCTGCAGGCCAGGGCCCAGGAACAGTAACTTATGTGGAAACAACAAAATGGAGCTGATCTGGTCCTCACAAAACCAAACCTAATTTATGTTCAAATAATTCCAAAATTCTTATAACAAAAAACTCTTCTACTCTCTATCTCCCTAAACAAAGCCTGTTCTATTCAACCAATAACCCCCTGCTGCATAGGCATGCAACCACCGGTCCTGAAAAAGGAAGACCCCCCCATATTCGACTCCTACCTCAAATACCCAGTTACCTCCACCCTCTATCCCTCCTACTCCAGCTCATCTTCTAACTTCTCCCATCCAACTAGCCCTCAAAATTCTTTCACTTCTCTCAGTCCATTGCCGCCTACTTTAAAAAAAGCACTTCCAAACCTCTTTACCCCTTTCTTCCTCCAGCTCCTCCATATAATAAATACTCCTACAATACCACTGTATAAACTAAGTGCCTTTACTTCTAATCCTTCTCATTTTATTCAAAAATTTTCATTTATTACTATATCCTATCAACTTACCTAACATTTTAAACCTCTAATGAACACAAATGAGTGTGGGAAAAGGCAAAAGAGGCAGCAAATCAATTTCATATATCAAACAATGAACATCCTACAAACAACACTACAATCCCTAACTCCCAGCCAAATTAAAATAATAATAATAATACTGGGAGAAAAAAATAGAAGCATTTTTATTACCTACATTCTTTGCAGACTTAAAGCTTCCGCCAAAAAGCTATCAATTATAATAAATTATGGAAAATCATACAAAATAAATCTAAAAATCCTTCGACTTTCCTCCAACACCTTACAGAGGCTTTTATTAAATACTAACTTAAATCCTAAAACTATAAGTGTGAAAAACATTCTTATAACTTTTTTCTTTAACCAAAATTACCCCAACATCAAACTTAAGCTAAAACACTTGGAGCATGGACCCCTGACACCCCAGGCCATGATCTTAAACACAGCCTTTAAAATTTACATGGGATGAGATGATATTTTCTGAAGGGAAAATAAAAATTCTGAAACCCCAAATTCTCAAATGTTAGCTCAAAAAATTACAAACACTGTCACTGAGGCCATCATTCTAACCTACCTCAGTCAGGAGCCAAAGACTGCTTCACGACTCAACCACCTGAACCATGTTACAAATATGGTGAAGAAGGCCACTGGATACGATGTTGTCTCAATCCCAGGCCCCCGCCAGGGCCATGCCCTCTCTGCAAAAAAAGGGCCATTGGAAAGCTGACAGCCCCTTGGCCCAAAGAGGCCATGGGGCCAGCCAACCTGCAGTACCTACATACAACAAACTTGTGGCTTGCCTCTTCTGAAGACTGTCGAGAACCCTGGCTTCTCTCACCCAATGCACCTCTGTGGAGCCAAGAGTAACTCTGATGATGGCAGGTAAAATGATTGCCTTCCTATTAAACACAAGAGCTAGCAGTTCTTAAAGAGTTCAGAGGTCCTACCTCCTATTACCTAACTCTATTATCAGGATAAAAGTATTTTTCCCATCGTCCACATCAAACTCCTTTTTACACTAGATAATTGAAAATTTCTCATTTAGATATTCCTTGTGATATTACCTTCCTATCTAATTCCCCTTCTGGGACATAACATACTTTCGAAATTAGGTACCACCCTCACTTTTAACCTTAAATTGATGAATGCTGACCCATCTTCTGCCTCACTCTGCCTTGTCCCTTCCCAAACCATAAAAAAAGCCCATTACCCTAGCTTATTCCACAAAAGCAAATAAATCCTAAAATTTAAAATACAAACCCCCCTCAATTACCTCCTACTCTCCAATTCTTATTAAACTAAAAAACCCTTCTATTTGTCTTTCTCAATGTCAATATCAACTTCCTCAATCTATTCTCTTAAAACTTCAAACCTTTTATCCCCAAACTTCAAAGCTATTGCCATAAACAAAAAAACCTTCTCCACAACTTTCCTCTACCCACTACAAAACAAAAACTCCTCTCCTTTTAAGATTAATGAAATGCCTCAAAACATAAATTCCCAACTTTTCTCTCCTAACTATTCCTTTATATAATACTAAAGATAACCCTCATAAACCTCTCCTAACCTCCATTTCCACTCCTTTTAATTCTCTACAATGTACTTTGTTAAAACCTCCATCCCTCCACCTTCCTAATCTTTCTCACCACTTCCTCCTATATTTCATAAAAAACTATAAGTTTACTCTCAACATACTTAAACATCAGCTAAACCCCACCTTTACTCCAATTACTTATCTCTCAAAATAATTAAATCACACTGTTCAAAATTAGGCCTCTTGTCTCAAGGCATTAACAGCTGCAGTTACTCTAATACAAGAATCAAAGAAACTCACTTTTAATTCCCTACTACTATCCTGTCCCCTCATTCTCTATCAATCTTTTAACATACAAAAATCTTCAAACCCTCCACCATACCACATTCTTAACCGTCAAACCTATCTCTTCTCTACTGCCTCTAACTAACCTATTCCAATACCTCCTCTCTATATATCCAACAACCCATATAAAATG